CTTAAAATTTTTGCGGCGTTGAATTTGTGAGGAAATAAACTCTTTAAGTGAACTCGTTCAATGGTTACTTGAAAAAGTGTTTTAGGACCACTTCAAGGTTGAAATATTTGAAAGAGATCCGTATGTGTGGATAAAAAAATTATACATATAAACAGACTGTCCAGCCACGTTCAGAGTATAGTCGTTATTATTAAAATAAAAAAAAGAAACTGCCCCGTTTCGAGACTCATTCAGTCTCCTTTAGGGGTTGACTGTAACACCGGCTTCGAAGTTTACGAAAGAGACCGAATGTGTCATGAAAGGTAGGGTTAGTTTCTAATTTTAATATTGAAAACTATAACTTAAAGGGGTATAAGGCGTCTGTTTACTCGTATGAATCTTTTGTTAAATTGTGAAGCTTGATTTACGAAGAGATCAATGAAGCATTAACGCAAGGGCTGCTTCTGTAAACGGGCTTTATCTAACGACCAAGAAATGAAAACTGAGGCACTTCGCAACCGATAACTTTTCGCCGACAAGTTCTGAAAAACATCTAGATCATCGAAATTTGAATTGCACGCAGTGACAGTGAGCGAGGCATCAATGTGTTTTGGGCTCACAGGCATGTTAATAATTCAAAATTGGAGTCGCCATTGTAAAGCTTCGGGAGGGCCCACTTTCATATTTATTTATTTACTTACTTATTTATTTTACAATATTCTTAAAAGCCCCCAAGAGAGTATTACATAGGGGAACAGACAGATGAATCAAACGTACATACGTTTACACAATGAAAGGAAGGAATACACAAAAAAATGAAAGCGGGTTACATAATCAAAGCAAAAATTAACAATATGAAAACGAAAAATAACGCTAGGTGCATTGTGAAGAAAAAAATGCGGGACTCTTAAGCTTCGCCCTTAAGAGTTGAACACTATAGCGATATTCTGGCCCTAGTGCGTAGCTCAAACACATAGTGCATGAAACCTTTTCGAACTTGATATGCACCCACTACGAGGTCTTAGGGGCCGTTTCTTGCGCTAGCCGCAGAGCGGCACGTGCATTGCGGAGGGCGAAACTTCTTGTCGCCTTCTTGCGTGCGGCAGGTGTCTCGGCACGTGCGTTGTGGCTGTGCGGGTAGTGCGTGGAACGGCCCTAAGGGAATGGGCGCAGCAGCGTGTGGGCCTTTTGCAGTGAATGACCGGCTTTAAATCATGAAGTCATGATAATCACATGTTCTAATGCCCGATGGCAATGTACACTTGCACCACGCATTATTTACTGCAATATTTCATCCTGCATTGAGAAGGATGTATACAAGACGCACGTGTTCGTAAAGCACGAAAGTTACTTTCAGTGCATTTTTCAAGTCGAGGAAGTTATGTCACTACACTCACGTGGTTTTTTGGCAGAACACCTGCTTGCCACGCAGACGACCTGGGTTCAATCCCCGCTCTAATGCAGGGTTTTTTTTCATTTATTTATTTCGTTTGCATCGTTCACGTATTATCGGTCACGCATAAGGCCATTTGCGCTCCCAACCAACAACGCTAACGCCAAAACTTCTTCGAAACGAGCTTTTTAACGCTCTCACGTTAGAATAAAACTTTAGGGAGAGATGAAAAACTGCCTAATCTAAACACAAACTAAGAGCAAAAACAAGTAGAGAATACAAGAAGAAAAAATAAAGTAAAATGCACTCAAGACTGTACGATATACGAGATTTATATTGACAAATGCACACGATGTAGCATGTAAAATGATCGTGGAAGTTGTTGACAAATGATCAGAACAAGAAACACAAACACTTAAAAAACAAATGAAGGAACCTAAAAAAGTACATGCGGTAGATAATTAGCCTCAAATATCTCGCGAAAGTTGCTGAAACGTTGTGCAATCGATTTCAGTGGCTTAGTGGGGTGTCGCGCTGCTCCTTGCACTCCGTAAACCAAACGTGCCTTTGGTTGGTTTTTTTTTTTTTTGCACACTGAACCACCAACCTACACGCAAAACGTATTCCGCGACGTCGTCCCACACCCGCACCTCTGGTCTCTTAGGGTTAACGAAGCGGATGCACGCAAACCACCATTCCCATCACAGCGTTTCGACACGGGAACGATCGTCTTTGTGGCATTGAGTTTCTTATTATTACACTCGAGATAACTATAGCGCTTTAGTGCCTATGGAAGCTGCGACGCATCGCGCTTGAGCTAGAATGAAAATGATAGGTAGTACACAAACTTGCGTTTTTTTGTCTATAGTACGTTTTTCTTTTCTTTTCTTCCTCCTTCTCTGTTTTTATTGGGGGTAGGGGGTTCCGTACGGCTTTGTGCGGCCTGAATCTGCTCAGCTGCACTACGAAGCACAGCAAAACTTTAGCAGTTGCGCTCCACCGCCCTGAGCTTTTTATGCTCGCCAATTAAAACCAGTTGACGAAGTTCACAATGATCTATATTTTTTATCCGCAACAGAATCAAAACAAAACAATAAACAAAGCCATAAGTACGCACGTTCGAAGCAGCCAGCGCGAATACCTGGCAAAGCCATGTACTACTATCATGCTTATGGTGGCTGAGCGATCGCAGTGTCAGAGTATGTTAATTTTAGGAGCCTTTATGCTTTGGGGCACAGTGACACCGCGCTGATATAGCTTTGCGCAGCGTATGAAGCAGCCCCATAACGCGACGGCGAAGTCTCGTGATCGTACGGAGCATCTAATGACTCCAATAGAACTTAAAGGCTGCGAGACAACACTGGGGTTGTGAGGTTTACTATAGGGCCAAATTCGTGGCTATGGAGTGCCAATTGTTCCGAGAATTAACGCTTTCGAGCGTGCATTTAAGTGCTCTGGCGGTCTGGTGTTAGTCTCTGGTAAAAATGTGGTCGCTGATGCAAGGTAGAGAACCCGTGATTTTCAACATGGCAGTATATGTTACACTGCGGAGTGATAGAATGCAGTAAAAAATCGCTCAAAAAGTACCCATCGATATGATAGTTAATGTTTAAAGGGCTATTACATTATTACTTGATTTTTATAATACCTGTCATTTTATGTTTGTTGTTAAAGCTGCAATGTGCACAATGGCGTTGAAATTGATGGTTTTTCCCCATTCTCACCAAAGTCTTGAAATAATATTGACTCAATGAACCTTCGTCATTTCCGTATTTCGGCCCCGTGGAGTTCATTCTTAGTCCACACAAGCCGTTCCCTTCTTTCGTCTTCCAAGGCTAAGAATATACGAAACTAATGCTATTTCTCACGTTCTAACCTGCCACCCTTTGATATCTAAAAGGTATGCTTAATAAAAAATACTTGAATTAAATCAACGTGTGCTATCTTTTTTTGCAGGTTTCGCGTAACGTTATCTGTTATAGTATCGCAGGGCTGTCATCATGTCTGTCTTATATGCGGAAACCGAAAGGGCGATTTGGACGACAGAGCACAGGCTGTCATGAACATATCGTAAACATCTTACATCATTTCTTTCTTTACTAGTTTGCTTAAAAACGACATTATTAGAAGCGCTGAACGTTATTTGAACGTTATGTGGGTAAGAAGGATAAAAATTCTAATCAATCGAAACTTAATTTTTCTAGCCGACGATGTGCGACGACAGCAGCTGTGTAAGGGCTGTATCTTCTAATAGTGCGGACTTTATTACTGTGTAGTCCTGTCTAAATATTGATTAAAATGCAACGCTGATGTCTGGCGGGCCACACTCGGGTCATACAAAAGCAATTTTTTGTGCCATTTAGTTATTAGTAACTAACAAAAAGCAGTTTTAGTGTGTCATCAAAGGAAAGCAAAATTATGAACCATCCTCTCGAAGGGAACCCTGATGGGCTACGAAGCAGTAATGGTGCTCACGCCGTTGATACGGCTGAAACGAGCATCTACTCGGGTGCTGGAAGAACGGTTTGAAGCAAAACTCGGTGTAGCTTTTACTGGAGTAAACGTTTCTTTGAAACGCAGAGACACAGCAGGCGGGTCGGGTTTTGTGCAAGTTTCAGCGCAGATAAACAATACGAAACAGCGTTTCCACTGGACGTGTGGTCAAGCGGTGCGGGCGGTGGAGAGGGTGAAACGAGATAGAAATGTGTTGCGAGCGGGTGGAGGAGCAATACCTCTTAGTGGTGTTGGGAGGAGCCGGCAGCTGCTGCGGATGAGGAAGAGAGTGCCGTCAACACGCAGCTTCGACTTTACCTACTTGGCATCGCTCCAACAAGTGCGGCGACGAAAACGCGGTACGGCACGTTGGCACGGATACACGGACGGACAGCGTTACACAGGCTAGTCAAAGAGCTGCTCCGCGTCTAAAGTAGTACACCTCTTATGACGATTAGCGCATATACCTACCAAGCTCTCTCATTTACCGACCTCAAATTGTGGTGGTGGTGGGGTCATCTTGTGACAGGGCAAAGTTTATTGTAAATTACTGCGTGTTTCTGCACCTATCGCACTGAATTAAGAAAAAACGGTTAACAATTCAGAGCACTTTATACGTAATCTACCCAGGGAGAGCAGCTAAAATAGTCGTTCTTCTTCTCCTGGCTACACCCACTGCAGGACAAAGGCCTCTCCCATGTACCGCCAGTCAACTGGGTCTTGTGCTTGCTGCTGCCGCTTCATACCCGCAAACTTCCTAATCTCTTCTGCCCACCTAACGTTCTGTCCTCCCCTTCACCCTCTCTCCTACTCCTGTTCTCTAGTCTGTGAACCTAACTGTAATCAGCATTGAAAGCCAGGCTGTGATACACAATATCTCCTCCCTAATGTCATATATGACTACGTTTTGATTTACCCACTCCTTTTTCTTTCCCGCTACCTTGCTATATATGGCTATGCTACAAGTGGCTAGGTTATGCGTGGTTTTGTCTGCGTTACGCCAAGCGACAACGACAGCATACTACAGCCCAAACCACTATAGTGCTCTGCGCCTTAAAATTTGATTTTTTTCCCAGCGCTCGTTTCGCAACCAACCACCGCAATGACACGTTCCTTCATGCCTCTATGCGTGCAGGGGTTTGTCAAGCAAGAATTTCTTCGACAACTTGCTCCAGCGAATGGAGCAATACGCCAACAATTTGGAATCACTGGTCGAGGAGAAAACGCAGTCTCTTCTGGAGGAGAAGAAGCGCACGGATGAACTGCTCTACCAGCTGCTGCCCAAGTAAGAACCAACTTTGTCTTGCAAAGGCCTATTGCATTCGTTTAAAAGAGTGTTTAATTCTTTTAAAAGAGGCCCCAATGACAGTAAAGCAAGTGTAGCGTCGACAGCGTTTCACCGTCATCAGAAATGAAAAATCGCAGCATATCCATAGAATGAATGATGAAGAGTGGGGCAAAACGTGCGTCAATTCGTCCGTGCTTCCATCCGTGCGTCCATCCGTCCGTACGTGCGCCCGTACGTGCATCCGTGCGTCACTCCATCCGTGCGTACGTCCGTCCATCTAGTGAACACTTCAAGTACCGCTACCTCACTTCTTTTTATCATACATTCATCATATACAAGTTCCACCATCCAGCGGACAATCCAAGGACCAAACGAGAGTATGTACCACATTTCTGCTGTGAGCGCTTTGTTAACAACGACAGCGTGATAAACGACGCCATGCTACGTTTTTCGTAACATGCGCACATGCGGATATGTGCTCGAGGGCGAGAATGTGCCACTGGTGTGCGGGTATGTGCCACTGGTGTGCGGGTATGTGCCGCAGGTTACGCACTATGACAACGAGGAACGCACAAGCCACGCCATGAGCAGCTTCGTCCCTGAAAGGATTCGATATACGAATAGTGAGACATATTTTCCAGCGTGTAGTCCATGTCAATTCATGCCATATCTCAGCCGCAGTGAATACAGAGTACTGGCTACCTCAAATAGCTACAAAAGTATTACTAGTCCCCATTATGAGTGAAGCTACTGAATAAATCCTCTAATCAGTACAGACAGACAGACAGACAGACAGACAGACAGACAGACAGACAGACAGACAGACAGACAGACAGACAGACAGACAGACAGACAGACAGACAGACAGACAGACAGACAGACAGACAGACAGATAGAGATAGATAGATAGATAGATAGATAGATAGATAGATAGATAGATAGATAGATAGATAGATAGATAGATAGATAGATAGATAGATAGATAGATAGATAGATAGATAGATAGATAGATAGATAGATAGATAGATAGATAGATAGATAGATAGATAGATAGATAGATAGATAGATAGATAGATAGATAGATAGATAGATAGATAGATAGATAGATAGATAGATAGATAGATAGATAGATAGATAGATAGATAGATAGATAGATAGATAGATAGATAGATAGATAGATAGATAGATAGACAGACAGACAGACAGACAGACAGACAGACAGACAGACAGACAGACAGACAGACAGACAGACAGACAGACAGACAGACAGACAGACAGACAGACAGACAGACAGACAGACAGACAGATAGATAGATAGATAGATAGATAGATAGATAGATAGATAGATAGATAGATAGATAGATAGATAGATAGATAGATAGATAGATAGATAGATAGATAGATAGATAGATAGATAGATAGATAGATAGATAGATAGATAGATAGATAGATAGATAGATAGATAGATAGATAGATAGATAGATAGATAGATAGATAGATAGATAGATAGATAGATAGATAGATAGATAACTTTTTCAAACTCTGGATAAACTTCACCACCTGAACCTTTTCTGATCTCTCCAAAGATTCAAACACTGTTGCTTTTGCTTCATTGATGCCCTTTTGACATTGCGGCAACCAGTCGCCGTCCAACAAGCCTCAAACTTTCGTGGTTGGCCTACGACTTGGTGTTGGAACTTCAAAATAAGCTTGATCTGACTAAATATACGTGTCAAATATCAGCGACTACATAAATTCATACGCCATTTGGAAAACCAAACTTCAAGTACAAATTTTCTGCTACCTGCTTCGTCGCTTCATCAAGAGCATACCTGCTTCGGCACGTACCTACTTTACCCGCTTTATTTCACTTTCTTTAAGAGCATCGTCAAACAATTCCCGTTGGGAAATGTAATCTGTGAATTTCACATTTCTCCTTGAAGTCGTGCCGTTATTGCTTTGCCCGCCCAAACATGATTGCTGACAGGTGAAGTGTGGGAAGGCCCTTCTCAACGGAATATCTTGCTGTTGCGTCAATGACTTATGTACATTAGAACAGTAAAAAGGTAGCACAATGTATTTGAGGCCTCAAAGCAGTGCTCAAACATAATATGAAGATCCTATATCTCGTACATCTTGTTGTTTGTTGTTCGTATCGCTCTTTTAAACTAAACTATAAAAAAAGAATCACCACCCAAGCAGTCGGTATACAGAAGGGGTTTGCCTACCAGCGAAGCTGAAACGCATGGCGCCTTGCCCTTATCACTGTGCCCATCCCGACAGTTCCCTAAAGTCCGCCTCAATTATTTGTTGTGTCTTTCCATAAATCTTATTTAGTATTTGCCTGATGTGTGCCCGTCTCATATTTAGTGAGCCATTGGTGAGTAGTGCGATTTGCCCAATTCCCATTGCACATACGCGCTATAGGCGATTCTTTTTGAACCACCTTGGGACACGAAAATTTTGTTGTTTTTTTGGTGGTCCTCACATAATAAAAACGGAGGGATGACTGCCGCAAGACTTCAACTAAGTTTATTACCTAACTAGCCGTATGTAGCTTCACTACAAGAACCTTTTCCTAAGGGTTTAATGGCTAATCAGATGTAAAAATCGACGATCAACGATGTCAACACGAGTGGTGCAAAAAATATTAATCAGGTGGTGTCGTCACCATGTGCCGTTATCATGACGTTTAGATACCCCAAAATTTACATCATCATGGCATCACTATGAAATCAATATGGCATCACACAACGTGACCAGCCTATGACATTCACTTGGTAAAAGGTGGGCTGTTCTCGAAGGCAGTTCCTAGCTAGCTGAGGGGCAGGAAGCTGGCTGTGCGTCCAATCACTGAGGTGATAGATAAGCGCATTGGGCCCAGCAATATCTAAGAGATCGGCGGGAGTGTTGAACACATCGAAGAAGATGACAAAGAAGAAGACGGCTTTTGCTTTGCAGTTGCCTTAGCTTTACAAATGAGAAATGCTGCGAGATTTTATAAGCACAGCGTCCTAATTAGCAGATCCCGAACGCATTTCACAGCGCACGACTTCAAATGTATAAAACTCACTCGTACATGTTATGCGTCTGCTGCATACGCTGCACGCTTCTCTTTCGTCGATCGTGCAGGTACGTTGCCGACGAACTCAAGAAGGGTTCACACGTGCAGCCAGAAGCATTCGAGTCTGTCACGATTTTCTTCAGCGACATTGTTGGGTTCACGTCCCTCTCGGCTGACAGCTCCCCGATGCAGGTAAGGGCAACGCGCAGTGCGCTTCACCATGCATGCTTAAGCACAACCATGATTTTCGCTCACAGAATAAATTGAGCATACAAGCGTAAAAATTTTCAGAATTATTATCTGACGTATAGCCCCGGAAGAACAGGGTCAAATGGTTCAAGCGATCTCCTAAAGGCTCGCACGGATTTCCACGCATCATATTGTGAATTTTTCCGTATGTACAACAAGTCGGTGCACGCTGGCTTGGTAGATGAAAGTTTCACCTAAAAACAGTAAACCATGAAAAGCTGTTTCCCTCGGCTACCTTTTCAACCCACTGTCGTAATGATCACCTTGTCAAAGGTGCGTCAAAATCTTCATGTTGATAATTTTACGAAATTATTGTGTATCTACGCTGGTGCTGCCTTCCTTAATTTCTGTCATATTTCTATTCCACCTCTGTAATAATTTATGAAATGATCTTTGTGGACCAAAACATCAATGACAACTCGAGTGCGACATAAGTCACTGAAGACAAAAGTATACCAAGATACTGACGAGGACAAGACTGTCTATTGAAATGAGGCGAGGAAAAGGACAGAGCGGAGGCGAAGGCTCTTCTATCAGTTTGGTGGCTGTATGATAGAACCGCTCTCTGCTCTGTATGCCTTGGTGAAAAAACAAGCACAAAAAGAAAAAAAACTGGCAGACCGCACGTACAGCGGTGATTCTCGGTGACGTCACCAAATAGTTCCAGAAGGGAGACCATGGTTTCAGAGCTGTATGTAAGTACATTGTGGAGACTGCGTTTCAATTGATTGATATGCGGGGTTTAACGTCGCAAAACCACCATACGATTATGACAGACGCCGTAGTAGAGGGCTCCGGAAATTTCGACCCGCTGGGGTTCTTTAAACGTGCACCCAAATCTGAGCACACGGGCCTAGAACATTTCCGCCTCCGTTGGAAATACTGTCGCCGCAGCCAGACTGCGTTTTAAGAGCTGCATAAGTATATTGCACAAAATTACACGGAATACTTAGTTTTTTGACGTATCATGGCACTTTGACAATTTTACTAAGCGCGCCGTGATGCCACTGTGTAACACGAGGGTCAATCGCATCTCTAGCTGCCTAACTGCGTCTTCGATCTTTGGCTACTCCGTGGTTTACAACCTTTCGCTATAAGAAAGAAAGCAAGAAAGAAATGAAAGAAAGGAGGAAATAAATGAATAAAGATATAAATAAATAAATAAATAAATAAATAAATAAATAAATAAATGCAGAATGCTGTGTAGCCTGTCAAGCGCATTTCCAAGACTTTTGGCATGTGCGTGCATTCACGAGTCCTCTGTGCACGCGCGCTACACTGCTATGAGCCCTTGAACATTTCACGCGGCACTGAAAAAAAAAAGTGACGACGAAACGGCTCAAAACCGCAAGTAGTTTCTTCAAGACATTGACCAACAAAAGGCCTAGCATTTCGTATTGTCAACCCAATTTCTTTTATTATTTTGTCCTCAGGTGGTTACGCTGCTGAACGACCTGTACACCTGCTTCGACGCCATTATAGACAAACACGATGCTTACAAGGTGGGTAAGCTTCCACAGTACCGCACTGCAGCTTCGGAGCTCTAGCCGCACTTGTTCCAGCCATCACTGCACCCTCAATGCACGCTCACAGCACCGTCATTGCACCGTCACCGCTCTGCGTGGGCAGCTAACTGGAAGGTTTTCTGCCCAGTCACCCAAGTCTGGTAAGGCCTCATGGTAAGAGGGTAGCACCCGTAGGTGTTTGTCTTCTCATTACATATGAAATTGTTTGGCTTGTATGGGCAGTGCTCGTCACTAACAGAAATGAGAAAAAAAACTTGGAAAATAGAAAGCAGATTTATTATTTCTACAGAGTAACCTCCACTGAACATGGTATGACAGAGCATGAGGAATTATGTTAGATTAAGGTCATTTTCGCCATTTAAATGAAACGTGAAAGCCGAGGAGCCCGCGGTAAAAACTATCTTTCGATAGTTTGACAACGCCTTGGACAATTACAACATTTTGGTGGTATCGCAACCGCATGGCAAGAAGGCGTAAGAAACATTGAAAACAGCTTAAAGCGGTAATACAATATAAGCTTTAAAAATACAAAAAATTAAATATTAGGCAGCAATAATGAAAGCACATTTTATTATTATTATTGATATTATTATTATATTATTTTTATCATCGCTACTAATATGGCATTACTTCTACCCTTTTCCACACAACGCCCAAGATATCCGAGTTCTAATTCTGTTGTCAGCATATTCACTTTGAGATTGAAGTGCTCTTTGTTTCTGAATCAATGTGAATTTCTCTCTGGCAGATCAATCATCACAAATTTTGGCATTTTGGTAACGTAGATTTCTGATCCTTTACAACATTGTAGCTTTTATCGTATAGGAAGACTTTCGACCGAATTAGCGACTAGCTGCGCACCTAGATACGATATGTCCGGATCCCTCCATCACGGCGTCTTTTATAATCATATTTTGGTAGTGGGATGTAAAACTCCACATAATATTATTAGATACGAGACATCCCCAATTACTTCAATGTGGAAGGGAGAACCGACGCCATAGCGAAGAAGTCATCGCTTAGATCAGCGAAAACCTCAACCTGAAGCAAGCGCAGATTTTCTTAATTAGATGCGTATAAAACACAGGTGTGCCTTTATGAAACAACGTCTGAAATAATTTGAGTGACATTTGTTGCATATAGGAGGAAATTTTACATTCTATATTGGACTGTTTATTTGGGAGCTGAATATTCAATAAAATTGCCAAGAAATGTAAGTTAGAAAATAATACGTGCAGAACGTACCCAAATATGTCCCTACGAATAAAAATGGGCATAAGAGTTCCATCACCAGCATGCATGCCATATATTTGAAGAGGCCGAAACATGTAAATTAACACACAGATCAACATTTTTAAAAGTTTTTGGCAGTTTTCAAATGTGTTACGGAGGTTTATTCGATGCTGAAAACACTAGTATGACAAGTCACACATAATCGCTTTGTTTTCATTCTTGCAGTCACTGGGCTTTTAGCTAGTTTTCATTCAGAAAGAGGGGGGGGGGGGATAGAGAAGAGGGAGACTACCATATATATATGCTACCCACATCGACTGCGAAAAGCGTCGTTCGGTGGTTTCGGATTTAACGTTTTCAACAAATGCATTTCACAGTATTAAGATAACACTTTGAACTATTTAGTTTAAGAGGTTTGAGTCTTATACATCTCAGTTTCTTTAGGTCTAGCAATTCTCTACTTCTATTAATTTTTTGTTGTTCACAATCGGCGGTATAACTAAAAAAAATGTGTGTTATACAGACACTAACTTTAATTTTTTCTTTTCTAAATGGAAGAAAAATGGTTAGAACAACTGCCTCAGCTTTCGCCAATATATATTCAAAAAGAACATTTATTTTTGTACGTGTGACCTCCTTCATTAAAATCATTCTTCTTGAGCTAAAGCACCTTTAGATGCATCGCCAAGGATGGTAGTGACGGATGATCATCACAGGAATAATACCCAATGCGCACGACTCAAAAAAATGGGCATTGCGGCAGCGAGAAATTCCAATTGCACGTCAGATACGACATACGTTGAATATTCCCCCGAGAAGGCCATGTCCGTTGCCAGGCTGGCGTCATAAATGATGAAAAACAGAAAAAAAAATATCTCTGATGGCGATAGCATCAAATGGAAGCCTATGTCTCACGTAAACGTAAAAGGGCATTACGACGCCTTCAGATGCCATAGCACTGCTATAAAATCTATAGTCAACTTTATACACGCCTAGACGCAGGATCTAGCTCTGACTTGCCAATACATCGCCAGCACCATGCCTTAGAGAAGGGGCACTCGCTCAGTGACGCAATGGAAACATTTTTTCAGGTTTTAATTTGCTCCTTTCACGCTCCGACTTGTAGGTTGCATTTCATCGTAAACTGAGGATTTCCAGAGGTAGGCAGAAGAATAAGCAGAGTTCCTTATGTGGACTTAGGAGGTTGATGACGCCTATAGGAAAACAGATAGAACGGTATCGAGGTGGTTTCGAAAAACCATTCGTATTGCTCCATATATCGTCCCCGAAGTATCCACCTCCTCAGTACGCGAACCAGAAGATATCAACACTGCTTGTTCGGAGGCAGCCACCTGTTCTTTTCTCAGTTGGCCTGGCTTGTGTCTTCTGATTTGCCTGCGGCATGGCATTGCGCAAACACGCGGGAACACTGCAGGCCACTGAGCGCTTGACTTTGTTTTGAGGCAGCTGATGTTGTGAGTTGAACAAAAAAGTGTTTTTCCCTTGTATGGAATGACAAGAAAAAAAATGTTGATATGACGCTTCAGGACTCGGTAAATCCTTATCGACATGCATTTACTCTCAAAGCAGACAAAATGTACGTATGCCGCTTGTTTGTTATTGAAGCGGATGTTCTTTCGCGAAAAGGTAGGCATAAATCCGCCTTAGTGCGAGGTACATCGCTTCCCCGTCTTGTCAGAAAGGCGCTCCAAAACCCTGCCAAGGTCTTGTCGATGCTGCATTTGCAATACGGTGGGCTATACAGCGATGCACGGCTGCGCTTTTTTCCAGACTCATAAGCGTACCTCTTTCGTAAAAGGTACAAAGAAGAAACACTCGTGCGATATCGATAGGAACAAATTCAAAACGACGTGCCGTTGAGTATTGAAGGCGCCGGGTGGAACAGCGCCGATGATGGTGCCTAAAAGAACAACTGTAGGTGACGGATTTGCTGTGTATCTCTAACCCTAACGAAATTGGCAGAAATGTTGGCATCTATAGGAGGATAAACATGAGTATAGCGGATTTCGCGCACTACCTTCCATTGTGATGGCAATGCTGCGGAGCCTCGAGATATGTTCACGCCATTGCCATTGGCGCTGCCGCTGTCGCAAGTCATGGTATATATGCCCATTAACGACCAATGTGTGGAAAATTCCATTAGTTTATAATTCCAGTGGTCTTGAATTCCATTATTTCAAGCTCAAAAGTGTATTTCACTGGAAAAAAACGACGATAACCTAGTAATTTATTTTAACAACGAGGTGACATTCGTCTATTCTGCTGGTTCCTTAATATGGGGGAACTTACCTTCTCACAGTACTGAAAAGGCTGGATGAGTATAAAATAAAATAAGGGAGCTTAACCAGGTCTGAGCCCGCTGGAATACCCTGCATCTATCACAGGCGAGTTTACCATATTCAGTATTTTCTAAGTAAGAAAAACACTCACTTTATGTACATTAATGGGCACAAGAGCAGTTTCGGAAGGTTGAGCGAAAATTATGGTTGTCAATGTAACCAGACGTGTAAGCTAACTTTTTCGGATTCCAAAAACGTGTCACAAGCCGGCCTATTAATGCGAAAAGATGATACTTTCAATACTTTGCTATTGATGGCTTGGCGGGAATTCCCCATTTTCTTACTTGTTTTTGCCAGTTTTCTTACACCTGTTGTTTTTCACTCCATTTTTTACAACTCTGCCTTATATTCCGACTACTCAGGTGAGCGACAAACCTGAAAACTGTTAAGCCATCCTCGAAAAAGCGAAGGTAACCTTCAGACGTAGGGAGCAACTAACACTGGAAAAATTATTTCTTTGCTTGACCCCATCTACGACTGCTACTTTTCGCTTTTCTTGTCTCGAATGAAGGTTGCCTTTGTAGATGCTGAGTTAAGTCTTCACACATTACTCTTTACCATAATACCTTTAGGACTGCTGCGATCTGACTAAGTCTTATTCCTTTTCGTTGTCTATATGATAATTAATCATAAGGAGTTTCTTGTAGTATGCAGATTTCTCAACAACCTGAGAGACCTCATGGTTGCGATCAATCGTAGAGTGCCCCTTCCTGAAGCCTTTTGGTATCTCGGTTGATGTGATTCTCTAACCGTATTAGAATTTACCTTCGCGGATAAATTTTCTACAATGCTCCAACTGTAAGGCCTACTTTAGTCCACCTGTTTCCATTGCCCTTATTGTTCATTAACACAATATTGGCATTTTTCTAGCTCATAGATACAGACTTGAAGTCTTTAAACACTGTGTATATGTGTGTACCTGTGTATTAAACTATATTCCGCAGTTTTAAACATGAAATCTCGTCCATCTTTGATCAAAACGGGTGTTAAACCTGTCAAATTCTCCAGATACTTTTCGCTGGACAAGTCTTGCTAGGCACTTCTAGCCTTATCGATAGTGCAGGTAGAACTAGAGTGGCAACTTTTGCTTACCGATTCCTATATTTCTGTTGATATAAGTTAATGTATCTCTGAAGCTTGTCTTGTGAAGGAAGCACAATATGTCTCGTGAATTATAGATTTTATGAGTTGTTTTGTTGTAAGGTATTTTGTGGATTAGGAAAACTGGCAGCATTTTAATCTGAACACTTCAGATTTAAATGCTGCCACTCACTCACCTGAACAGACGTAGATTCCAGTTCTTTAAACTGATCTCATCATCATTTCAAAGCCGCACGACAAACCTGGCATCCAAGCAATCAGAACTCTAGCTACACAATTAAACTCACGAACAAATCAAGCGTGGTTTTTGTTGGTTAGCGACTCCGAGAAGACACCACCACCGCGATGAAGGTGCGTTTTATGGGAATCGTAATTACAGGGCTCGCTCTCTCCCGCCACAATAATCACGTTATTTAAGTGGGAACGCCATCCGACGGGCTGGCACAAACAGCATTGTCCTCGACGACCTGCTCGATCTTTCAAAGGTTGTGCTCAGATTTGGGTGCACGTTAAAGAACCCCAGGTGGTTGAAATCTCCGGAGCCCTCCACTACGGCGTCTCTCATAACCATATGGTGGTTTTGGGACGTTAAACCCCACACATCAATCAATCTTTCAAAGGTGGTCGATCAACTGATTTGATTTGGTTTTATCATCTCTGTTTTTTTTAACCCACAGAGCAAGCAATACACGAGGCTCAGCTTACACGGTGAGCAGACGTCAGCGCACGCAGGGTGCTGAAACGTGCTGAGAGAGCGCATGTCAGCGGTGGTAGTGAGGTTAAGACAAGTTATTTCTTCATTCTATCACCACGCGAAGATAAGATTACGCTGAAAATGTATGCAGCACTCACGGATTCAAAGAAGACATGGTATTTTTTTTAATATAACGACTGACATGCGTGATTTTTCAAAAAACCACCTCTCGTCGCGAGGAATCCGGTAAGATAATGTTGGATCTGATCTACCAACTCGAGTCGAAATGGCAAGTTAGCCTTAAACGATGCTTTTGCAATATATGAGAATTGTGCGTGGTTGAAAACGTATTTACAAAACTTCGTGAAAGTGCACTCCTTCAGGAATATGCGCAGTGCAGGTTTGCTATAGAGTGGCTGGTTACAAATTCCAAAGAATATATGGTAACGACAGATTGAAGTGAAGCAATGCGCCGACTTCGTGCATGCGATGAACAATTAGATATAGCATGTGCGTATTTGTGTCAATGAAATGCTCTGAGCAAGTACCGTTGTGCTGAATGAGTCGAGTCTCGTTGCTTGAGTTAGCCCCCGGTTAGCCACCACGAACACCTATGTGTACATCCCTCCCCCCTCATCCTCCCTCTCCGTTTTCGCAACGGAGCGAAAATGTCGTTGAACAAAGGTTAGTATCGCCGTGCCTTCCGTTCGTGTAAACATCGCTTGAGCCATGGCAGTGACCCGTAAGGTATCAAGAGGCAACATGTGACGTGGGCTTGGCCACGGCCGCTTCATAAAAAAATAAGGTTAGTAGCTGTGGCTTGCCCATGTCGAGAAAAAGTTTTAAGTACATTTGAAAAAAAACAGAGCTCGACTAGTTTTCCGTCTTGGTACAGTGAACGGGTTTAGATTTGGCATCTCCTATTACCTCTTTCTTTACCTGATATCCCCACCTCAGTTTGCGGTAATAAAGCAGACGCTAATTAATATCTGGCTAACCTGCCAGCCTTCGTCTTTAACTCTCTCACTCTCTCTCCCACGCTTTGACCACAGTAGGCTTGAAACAGGCGTGTATTAGCGATGATCTATTGTCAAAGTAAGAATTCTTTGAATTCGTAAGCCATTACTGGTTCGGATACCCATCTCTTTACCCACTGATTCGGCCCTGGACTAATGATCGGGAAAATAGCAATGTACGCTTTTTCAAATATTTACGCTGCCCTAATTTTATGTATTAACCACCAAGCCCCTGAAGAAGTTACCTCAAATATAAAAAGTGAGGCCAACGCCTCCTTTGTTTCTTTCAATGCCAGAGCAAACACGCGCTTCTCAACGGGAGCCGTCGGTTCGCCTTAGTACAGGGAGTGGTCGTGATATGGCGCTATACCATGAGTACCGCTAGAGTTACAGTATATGCCCCCCTAATGGTAGCATATACAGTAACTCTATAGGTACCGCTGCTTGCGTCACGCGTGCTTCTGAGCACTTTACCCCGGAAATGCGATAGACGTGTTTCTCCCTCCAATATCTACGTGTGTCAGATTTGTTCCTTCTTTGTGGCTCGAAACGCCGCCGCGTCACAGAGCAGAGCATGCAGACAGCTGCAGTGACGCTCCCCCATTGGTCGCCCGCATGAGCGCCACGAACGGCGACACGCTACCGCAAAACACCGCATCACTTACAAGGTCGGCGTGGCCACCAATATTGTGAACATGAGGAACGCAAGACGCCGTCCCACGGATATGATTGCAGCTGAACAAAAAATTACTTCATATTATTTCCGTTATGAGTCACATAACGAGGGGCTCTCTCCCTCATGACTGCAAAGCACACGTGAAGGCTAGGCGATGGGAGAGAGCACGAAAGGGCTGGAGGAAAGGGTGGTGAATAGCTGGATCGGGCGCATCTGGCTGGCATTGATTTAAAAAAAAGGAGGTGTAGGTGGAGCTAAGCATGCGCGATTGCTTATATATTTCTTGCACTGACGTCAGTAAAACAGCCACGTTGAAACACCAAAAGCTGGGACGCAAACTTCGTATAGTGTTACGGTAGTGTTATAAATACACTGTGCGTGCCGTTTCTTTCGCTATTTCTGCACAAAAGTCTCATTACGTTCCAGAGACGTCGTTATCACACTGAAGTTGATTAATCACTGCGTTACTATACTATCTTGATGTCATCTACTGAGCCGCCGTGTTGGAGCCATTTTGGGTCCATGACGACAGGCGAAACCTATCGATTTGCTGTTAAAAGGATTACTTGCCAGATAAAACTGTTTAGTTGCAATCTAAGAGCTTGTCCCAAATATTTTTTTTACTTGTTCTACGTAAAGTAGAGCAATTCTTTAATAGTACCGTGCCAGCGTCGACTGTCTCAGATGCTCCTTGCTGGAGATCTTGCGGACACACTAGGTAATGACTAGCCGGTAAGCGCTTTATAACGGCGCGCAGCGTCAAGAAGGTCAGCAAGAGTTGCGAATCTGCACGGAACTCACTCGAAGTGAAAGCGGCATCTTCTATAGGCTTTTTCTACAGATACGGTGCCGCTCACATCGTCCCGAACTTAGCGGGAGCTTCCATGCATGCCCATCGGAAAGCGTTCGAAGGGTGTTTTGCTGGGAAAGTTGGTACACTATTGCTCAACAATAGGTTGCTAATACAAATGAGACAATACATGAACACAAGCAAGCACTGTTCTTGTGCTCTTTTGTCGTCATCGTTGAATTAGCACACCATCTTCGACCAAAGCTTGCATTAGCTGAATCGTGACATGGGCCGTGAGTAGTGCTGCGGTAGGAACGGCACAGCAGACGAGACTTGCTCATCAAATGAACGGGGTGCGTATGATCTATTCTTGTCAATCTCGTTGCTTCACCTTTTCAGCAAACTCTAGCCTGTTGTCCACTGGACATTCCCACGATACTGCTACAAAATTTATCCGTTGTACTCCGGCTTAATTGATCTCGTATACTCCTGTTTCTGTGGTATAGTCTGAAGATTTCGTGGCAATACCGGTAAACCTTTCAACAGTCCTTAGCCCTGCGAAAAGTACGCGGGCAAAGAGTTCCTCACCTCGCTCGGTCGCTGCTTCTTCGGCGCACAGGTGGAGACCATCGGGGACGCCTACCTGGTCGCCTCTGGTCTGCCCATTCGCAACGGCAACGAACACGTGCGCGAGATCGCACGCATCGCGCTGTCGCTGCGCCACCAGCTGCAGTTCTTCAAGATCCGCCACCTGCCCAAGAGGAAACTGCAGCTGCGCATAGGAATCCACTCGGGTAAGCCTAGTGCGTCATATTGACAACCAAGTCAAATAGCCGCATTGCCGACCGCACTGTGGTAGAAAAAAAAAGCACCGTGCTACGTTTGAACATACCCGCAACGACAGAAGCGCACGAGTACACAAGCGGAAGGTGTGAAATAGGGCATACGTGATAAGCATTAGCCGCAAAACCGAAGACCTTATCACGAGGGAAGAAGGTACGTTATATAAAAGTGTCTAAGTGAGCCTGCAATCAACACGAAATGTTAAAAAGTGATTTCGTGTCTTTTTTAATGTCTCCAAAATTGTATTGCACCTTTATCGACCAAAGTATAGGCTAAACTGGTCTAATGAAGCTCGGAAGCGTAGGTAGTGTCCTCTGGCCCATGTACGGTGGCTGTAGGTCAACGCCTTCAGCATTGTTCATCGTTTAACAAACATATTTGAACAGATCTTCCAGTATAGCACATTAGCACACATATGGCACACTTATAAAAGTAAACAGGACAGCGTCCTGTTTGTTCATTGACGTGTTTCTATGTATGTTCAAATGTTGTCAGACGTATCAAATAATACTGGAACGTGGTATACTGGAAAGTCATGTATGCCTTAAAGAAAAGTATCGCTATTCCATTAGTGTGAATGGTTGGCTAGTACCACCAGGGCAGGAGCGTAGCAAGAGCTTCTTTTCTAGGGCGGCGAAGGGAGGAGGCGGGGCGCTGCAGATTATACTTCATATATGCCCACACGTAAGTTTTTACGTGTGCGTGAATGTGAATGTATACGCATTCACGCACACGTAAATTTTAGGGCGTCTTCAAGTTATTTCCTCCTTGGCTACGCCAGTGCCCTTGGGGGGCCAGTAACCTACGCCGTGCCACTTCATGGTTCTCACTACTTTACCAAAATCACCAATGTCGCAAGCAGCGTCGACGGATGGCGCGCCGCTTTACCACTTACGTCCTATACGCCACGTTTCTGTTCGGTTCACGGGTCTTTCTCACACATGGCGGCGAACGCAAATTCCACTATTATAATCTTTAGAATACAAAAGCGCGCAACACTGCCATAGTCCACGCCATCACAGCGTGCTGTTGCAAAAAAAAAATGAATAGCCGTCGCTGCTGAACTTTCGATATATACAGGCAAGCGTTCAAGGTGACTCGCCCCTCAAGATCTGTCCGTTTGTCTGCCGATTCCTTTGTCTGCTACGCTGAACATTATGTGCTACGTGAAGAGACGAAAAGAAACGTTAAAGGTGGGGAGTTTCTCACCTATGGCCTCAAGCTCAGAAGCCGAGAACCTTATTCACAGGGTTAGAGCAATCACGCATGCTTATATACGTGAACTATTTGTACGTGCTATCAGTATCCATGTGTCAAGCAGGCCCGCTCACCTGATGGAGAGGATCGCGCTCTGTGGATGGCTGTGGTGGTGCACTCGCAGAGAACCGCTCACGACGTGACGGCGTATGCATATAGGTGCGCTGAACGGCGGCAGCAATACTGCACGCGTGTTGTAAAAAGAGGACAATTAGATTCACAGCTTAGTATACGTCAGCATTTGCTCATATATTGCCTCTACGTAGACGTCCCTAGGCTTTAACGAGCGAAACAAATATTGCTCTAACAACAAAGAACAACCGCTGAATACAAGACGGATACTATTTTAAGTGCTCAGATTTCACGTCTAAAAACTAAAATATGAGATGAAGGACGCCTCAGCAGAGGGCTCCGAAATTTTCACACTCTCGAGGTTCTTCAGCGTGCACGTATATATATGGAAGTACACGGGCCTATGGGCTTGCACATCCATCGGTATGCAGCCGATTGCAGCTGGGATTTGACCCCTTTATCATCGGATCAGCATTCGAAAACCATAACTTGCAGGCGGTAGTTTACCAGACGAAGGTGATGAGCAAGTGGCGCAACGCTTTAGCATGCTTATGCACAACACCAGTGCAATTCCTGTAGATTTTCTTTCTCTGGCTTACAAAGCTTTTGCGCGACGTTTAGGCTGTAGGGATAAATTTCTAGCAATGTAGTACGCGCATAAGGTCACCAGGTTTCTACTGCATCCAAGACGACTCGATGGTTAAGTCCAATTTTTTTTTCTCCTTCTCCTCTTCTACGAACTTTATTGATTTCCTGCTCTGGTGAAGCTCTTTTCACTTCATTTGATGTTTTTTTGCCGCCGGATCCACCTTTGACCAATAAACGGTGTCATGCTACGAATTCAGCACGTGGCGTCGTGTTACATGATGTCATCGTAATTCGTGATCACAACACCTTGCATTGTTTGTGTTGACGCTGACAGTCGCTTACCGCGTTTGATGAGGCATATGAGACCTTACTACTTCTCTACAGCTTAACTCAGTATGCCACATGAGGATCTACTTAGCATAACTCTTCTTCGCGCGACCATCTTTAATAATGGCATTCAGGTATATCTGATAGAAAAATTTCGCCGCCATAAAGAGCCGTTCAACGAATGCAACCTAAATTTGTGAATTCTAGAATGAAACGTCAAAAACCGCTAGTTCACTGAAGCATGTTTCAATACACGCAATAGTGTATATTATCACGTGTTCCCGAATATTCGTAATGAAAAAAAAACCTGACGCTGGACCACCCTTGAGCTCGTACACGGTATATACGACTTCACATATCGCGTAGTACCTGCACCAGTTTCTACAGTCGGATACAACTTTACATATCCGCGGCATTTCCTCCTCGAAGGCGCACGCACAGAAGCCAGCACCAACGGGCACGCACTCAATACTGACGTCATAGGGTGGATGGTCTAGAATATTTCCGTGTGTACAAGAGGGGCTATATACTTATTTAGTCGCGGAGGCGACGGCTTCCGCACTTCGGTCCTCTGGGCTGGGCTTCTGCGTACTTGTAGCTAATTTGCGATTGTACTGTATTCGTCCGGACAGCCTTATAGAGGTTTAGACAGCTGCACAGTTTTGTCATAGTAGAGTACAGAGTACTCCAAATCATCTGTCATTTATTATAAGCACATTAAATTCTTTATCCTGCCTTTTCAAAGACACGCTTCACTTGCACGTGTAAGGGCAAATCAAGAGTTAATTTCAAGCTGCCTGTCAGCCAACCTGAGACGGCGCCACACGTGCTCGTCACGTGCGCGAGTACAAATGGAGCAGCAATTTCAAAATGATTGATTGATATGTTGGGTTTAACGTCCTAAAACCACCATATGATTATGAAAAACGCCGTAGCGGAGGGCTCTGGAACAGTTTCCAAACGTTGCCAGTGTGTTTCTCAACGAGAGACTAATAGTTTGCTATATTGCTTTATAGTGCAAAGAGATCTGATGCTACCCGGTCTTTTAGTATTTACGATGCATATCTTACCCGGTATGGTTACGGCCACCTAGACCGTTCTTAGCAGTGCCAAATAGCACCCTCCCTGTGTTGCTGTATATCAGAAGCTCTTCGCAGTGTAGTGTTGGATTGCCTCATTTTTTTTTCGCTTTAAATGCGTCAAAAAATGACCTTTACACAACAGAAACATAAATTTTTGTTGCAGATTAGAAAGTTGTGACCATTATTAGACTAGCTAGGCAGGTATCAGCACCCTGTACAGAGCCTGAATGAATTTTTTTTCATCCGTCCATCCAACTTCATACATTCCTAAACTGAAAGTTTAACACAAAGCATACAAAGAGGCACCTGCTGTAACACTTCCAGCATACACACAGGCACCTAAACATTTGATATACATCGATTGTGGCTTTTTTGTACAAGATTTTTTCTGGAAAAGATTTTTGTAGCGTGTTTACGTAGGTGCAGAATCGTTTATTATTGTCCTTTATTTCTGGGCAGGTCCATGCGTCGCCGGTGTAGTGGGCCTAAAGATGCCGAAGTATTGCCTGTTTGGTGACACGGTGAACACGGCCTCGCGAATGGAAACAACCGGTGAACGTAAGTTGGGCACGTAATTTCTGCAGAATCCCAGCAATTTTCTGTGGACGATTCATGCACAACCTGGCAAAAAAAAAACGGAATATGAAACTTCACGTTAGGGGATATGAATGAAACACACATTTCTTTTTAAAGACGATAGTTATTCTTGGGGTACTTAAACGCAAAAATTTTGTTCTGTCTGTCTGTACATTTGTCTGTTTGTCCACCGTAACGATACCCTAAACGGCGCCGAACGATGCTTCAAACGGCCAACCCCATCCGCAGCACCCACCAACATTGCTCAAGATAAGGTGTTCATACTTGTGTGATTGTCAATTAAAAAGCTATTATTGTGCATATTTGAAGCATCATAAGAACACGTCAATATTCTGTATGTGTGTCTTTATGCTAGGGAAGGCATGCATGTGTAATTCTAAGGACCATAGTGTTTATCATGCTGCACTGACAACGCAAAGATATGCTCAAAAAGGCAAGTGTTTCCAACACTTTGCTAAAACTAAAGGCTAAGACGACACAGCGGTGGCACCGCCCGTCGCTTTGCGTTCTACACCTTATCGCCTCCGAGATAAGAGCGCACGCCTTCCTCCGTTTCGAAAGATGACTGCCCGATAGCGCTCGTGTCTAATGTGCCTCGATGCGCTCATTTGCTTCGCTGCACGGATCACGACACTCTAACACAGTGCCTCCAGAATACAATCCACCGATTTTCTCATGCAGAACATCAAATAAACGTTTTGTTCAGTCTCTCCAGACGCAAGACTATCGTCTTTCGACGACAATTGCAGTGAAACATGCAGCTATCTATCTATCTATCTATCTATCTATCTATCTATCTATCTATCTATCTATCTATCTATCTATCTATCTATCTATCTATCTATCTATCTATCTATCTAGACGTTTGGGTGCTCTCGTGGTCAACCCTGTAACTAGGCATGAATCAAAATTAGCATGCGAGGGTAAGATGGTTTGACGAATATGACGCGCTCGCCAAGACATGAATAATGTCACCATCCTGTCGTGTAAACTTACCGCCCGACACACACACCGCCAGACAGCGGCACATACCCACGGGCGGGTATATGCCGCTGGTATGTCGGTATGTGCCACAGGTGATTGACACTTGATATCTACCCAGGAACGACTACAACACACAGGGGCAATTTTAACGCGTGATTGTTGATAAATATCCGATGTCGGTAGCGTCGACCCACCGAATGCAAAAATATATGTCAGGGTTCCAGCTGGAATCAAACGCAAGCATTCTACGTGGCAATGAAGCATTTGACCACACAGCTACACCAGGTCTCGGAACTACTTTTCAAATAGACGCGTATCTTCGGGAAACGTCAATAGTGGTTGCAGTGCCGCCTTCCCGGTTTCATAAACATTACATACGTACTCCTTTTCATACAGCCGTTCCGTCGAGTTCACGTCGTTTGTGGTTAGTTACCGTACGCTTAAGTTGATTTATGTAGCAGCGTCCAGGGCCAGCCTCTTCGCAAGCATCAGCACTTTATATCAGCTTCTGGTATTGCTAATACGTATGTTCTAGTTGGCATCGTTGTGCAAGTGCAAACAACTGGCTACATAAACATCTACAACTTTTCAACATATACCTGAGCGTGCAAAATTTGTACATATATTTAGTGTCATTTCATGACGTGTCGCTCAATGAAAAAATTGCAACATGGTCACTTTCCCTCCGCATGCTTCGCATAACGTCGATTTCTAGGTGCGTGGGATCTGCTGAATTTCTTTTAATCACGCAGACTTCTTCTGGCGGATGAAATTTTTTCATCCCCAGAACGAACAGCGGATTTTGTTCAATGCTTTACAAAAGTTAAAGTACATTCACTCTTTTAAATATTCTGAGTCCCGATACAGTAATAGGCATCTGTGCAATAAACGGCTTTACCCATCGTTCAAAAGGTCAAGGAGAAAGTTTTATTCCAAACGGAAAATAAAGATAGCTGAGCGCAGCATAGATGAATGACACCTCTATTTTTTGAAGCATTAGAAAAATGTAATTGCTTAAATATTGTCCAAATAACTTCACAGGTTATCATTCAACATCTCAGTGCTATTCATGTCAACCTGTTCAAACAATATTTTTTTGTGAAATAGTCATTGGCAATGAATAACATTGAAGAAAAAATGGTTGTACTGCGCGTATCAGCGAATTTTTCAAGGCATACGACAGAATTATTCATGGCAGATAATCACACATGTTATTTTGTAACCAAACTATTTAATATATATATATATATAAGGAAAAGAATTGTATACCTATGGGCCCATTTTTCCGTGTTTTGACACAATATTAATGAGATTTAACAGACAATAATGCCAAGCAATGTATAGGGGAAGTTATCAGAACCAATGTAAATTCAATAAGAGAAAAAGTGGGTGAAAAAATAACTTGCCGTGAGCCTAACCTGGCGTGAGCCCATATATATATATATATATATATATATATATATATATATATATATATATATATATATATATATATATATATATTGTGGTGAAGCCTTCGAACAGTGGGTCGTCCTCTCCAGCGCCTTCTAGTGGGTTGCCCTTTTATATATATATATATATATATATATATATATATATATATATATATATATATATATATATATATATATATATATATATATACTTGTTTAAAAATTGCGTGTGCCAAATCGGCCACGGCAACATGGTATGCAAAGGGAATCAGCATGACGTAAAAACATTAAACACAGTGTATTTCAGTAAACCATTTCCCAACCGCTAATATTGAACATATATGATTTCACTACTCTCGATGACACCACGCACTGTTGGTAACGTATGCGGCGTGCACAAGGCTTTTCTTTTTCAAACTAATATTTGTCGTGAAAGTTTTTATTGATTTATATGTGTAGTTTAACGTCCCAAAGCCACCATATGATTATGAAAGACGCCGTAGTAGAGGGCTCCGGAAATTTTGACCACCTGAGGTTCTTTAACATACACCCAAATCTGAGCACACGGCCCCATGGCATTTTCGCCTCCATCGAAAATGCAGCAGCTGCAGCCAGTATTCGATTCCGCAACCTGCGGGTCAGCAGCCGAGTACCTTAGCCACTATAGACCACCGCGGTGGGGCAATCTTCGTAAAAAAATCTCGCCTCTTTTTCGTGAATTTACACGAACTATCAATAAAAAATTGATCACATATTATGTACGCTAAAACAACCGCCGTTCTTTATCGTCCAAAGCATTTCAGCATGCAATCGGGCCATTTTATTCCTACCAAGAAAAGGAAGTGCTTCGTCCTCCACCTTCGAACACTTCGTGTAATCATCAATTCACGAGGATATGCTTGGAAATTTCCACACGGAAAGTATAAATAAATAACAGTATAAATCTCTAAGTTATCGGTTGGTAACATGACGCCAACATCTGCTACTGGGCAAACTAAATGTAATACTGCACAGCGTATAGTTCGGCTTCCGTTCGCACTGCTACCACTTAGGCAACGGTAAGAAAAAACTTGTAATTTTTGGAAAACCAAACTCCTTTTTGTGCTATCACTAATCTCCGACTCCACTGCCACCCATCCCAGCCATATAAATATTTAAACACCGCAAAAACTTTCGGTCGTTTAGTCCCTTCGACTTTTTGTTCCATAGTTAAATTACTTAAGAACATGAGGAATTGAGTGCAAGTTGCGAACAACCGTGAAAAAGATTCCTGTAGAGCAAGTAGAACCCGCGATAATGTCATCTTTACAACACTAATAAGAACGAGCATTGCGTGGCATTTTATAGCTCATGCAAAACTCCTTCAGCTTTTCTAAAACGAATTCAAAACAACAGGCGAGGGCTGTTTGTGTGTGGGTCTTTTATAAGGTGCATCGAGAAGTTCAGTAATTTTGTAATTACGGATAATTTTCGCGTTTTACTTCACGTAATACACGTATGGATGTATTTGTCTGTGAGAACTCAAATGAATCTAGCAGATGTGACCCATTTTCTATATAAATCTACTATGAATCTCAATGAGTAAGTTTCAAACTGTGTACGCGTTGTTGAGTGAAATTCAACACAATCTGTAAGATCGTGAAACGGAGAGAAAATGCAGTTGAGCACTTCAAGTATGCGAGATCCCTATAGATTACACTTCCCAATGTTTCGCTCACTTTTTCGACAGGTGATGCTCATGAATGCATCATCTCTTTTATGGAAGCAACTCGCTCCCAAAAACTCTCAAGAAGAATCACACGGTCTCTAACAAACCTAAGTTTTCAATATGCCGCACTATATTTCTACAGGATCACACACATGCGGGCACATCGGGTGGCGCCCTGCGAGCCACTGATGACGACGGTGCGAAAAATTGAGCCCCATCAATCATAGAGTGCTTGGTCGTGACTCTTAAACAAAGCAAGATGCCAGAAACCCTACACTCTGGGATAAGTGTTATAGGACCTCCAAGTGAACGCGCCTTTATACCGTAACTATATAAATGAAAACAGTGGGTGTGTTTTTTCAGAAGTTGAGATCTCAAGGTGACTTTAAGTCACTAACATTCCTTCTGAGCCCGTGCACTTAGTTGCATTATGGACACTCAGCGCACAATGTACGCCTCCTTTATGCATACGGTTTTCCCTTGTCTCTATTTTTATTGCGACGCTTTTATGGACACTCACGTTTTGTCATGCTGTTCGAGCTACGACAGCAGTCAGCGGCATGGTCTGCACTAGTTACTATCAGCCAGCCATGAGCGGTAGTTGATAAAACGTCACCACACAACGCATGAGCATCGATACAGACGGAGGAAAAGTGCGTTCACTGCATCGACAAACTGTTCGTATGTCCCCTTCTCTCTTATCTCACTGCAGCACTCAAGATTCACGTCAGCTCAAAGGCCAAGGAACTCCTCGACAATTTCGGAAACTTCGAACTCACGCTAAGAGGCGAGGTGCAAGTGAAGGTGAGATTAGAATCAGTCTGGTTGCTCGTAATGTTTGTGCGGACGAATAGTCATTACGCCACTTTGGACAATAGGCGTCGTGAGCGTGAGCTTCGCTCAGTGAAGTTTTTTGCTTACTCTCGCTCTCTATCTATCTATCTATCTATCTATCTATCTATCTATCTCTATCTCTCTCTCTCTCTCTGAGCGCTTGCTTTTTCAGAAAATGCAATATCTTCTGCAACCTTAATATTCCAGTAAGAGAAGTCACTATTGCAGAGGAACAATATGTTGTTTGGAAATCGAAAATCAGCATGGGAGCCGACAGATCGAAACACGTAGTGGGATAGTCAGAGTGAACAGTGGAAATGCCTCAGACAGGCTGGCCGACGTTTCGATAGAAGTACCTATATTCGTCAAAGGCGCCTTGTCATCTTTGGCGTGTTAGTTTTAAAAGGGTTCGTAGTGACGTCATCTCCTGGTGGTGGCGCGTGTCCCTGTTGGCAATCGTCGTCTACCAGAAACGACGATTATCTCAAAATGTCGCTTGGTTACTCTCACTGCAATATCTACAAAAGAGTCAATGATGAGTGAGTCAGCGTTAGAAAAATGCTTCGAAAGCTGCTAATAAGTATAATAGAAGCTATTTGTAAATACTGCCACCATCGAACGGGTATGCAAAGCGCCGGTAAGAACATGCGAACTTGTTCTATAATTTTTCAGGTACTGATTACATTTGTGTTCATCGAAAATATGGCTTACCGCATTTTTTCGCGTTTTCTTCATTGTCAGATATTTGCGCTTATGACAAATTAATCATGTAGATATTGTTCTCTATCTCTCCGTGTGTGTGTTTGTATGCATGTGCGTGCGTCTGCGTGCGTGCGTGTCTACATTTACAACAAAGCGACTGTGAGCTTCATAACTATATCTCAGCAACAGGAATATAATATATATGTTGTTCGCATAGCCTTCACCAGCATATCCAGCTCTTTCAATATTAAGGATTGCAATGTCAATGTTATGCAAGAGCGTGACGCAACAGAATCTCTTCTGTTTGGGCCAGAACATATTGAGAGCGGAAATTGTCGGTGCTTTCGTGTGTATAAGTACTGTTGACTGGGCGAGTCAGTACATATAGCTCTTCAGTTTTTCTAGGTCAGTGTCTGCCATTATTTAGAGAATTAACACCTGTAGTAAACTCGCTGTATGACCGTATATTGCTTGCTTCAGCAACAGTTTGCCTGATAACATTTGACCTATTGTAAGTTTTATCGAATTCATTCTGTTCCAATAATGGTCTGAAACGTAGATTTCCATGGAAGTGTTTATATAGGTGCTCTTGTATACAGTGTTCACGTCATGAGTTGCTGGCTGTTGTGGGCAACTATATGATCGCGCGACGTTTTTACGCCACAGACACGGCAACAGTCAACATCACGACCCGCAGGTCGCGGGTTCGAATCCCGGTTGCGGTGGCTGCATTTCCGATGGAGGCGGAAATGTTGTAGGCCCGTGTGCTCAGATTTGGGTGCACGTTAAAGAACCCCAGGTGGTCAAAATTTCCGGAGCCCTCCACTACGGCGTCTCTCATAATCATATAGTGGTTTTGGGACGTTAAACCCCACATATCAATCAACAGTCAACATCACGATTTCATACAAAAGAAAAATGTTTGCTTCTTTACATCCGTGCATTGCATTCAACATCGAAACTGCCTCCCGATAGGCTATCAGAGTTTTAATAAACGATAGCATTATTATACTAGCGCTGACCTCGGCTCCGTATCGGCACATAGGAGCGCGTACAATGCATTACTGGTCTCTTATGAAATAAAAAGAAAACGTAACGATCAAAAAGGCAGTACATTAAGGGCAATTCGTCTTGATGTGCTGTTTAACGACAGCCAGAGGGCACTACAGGGGAACACGGCGAGGATACATCAGATGGGAAAGATATACACGACACGTCACTTTTCACTCGAGTGTGCAGAGATTCCCGCGATGCGCCGCTATATAAGCATATTTAAATGTAAGCATTTCTTTGCGAACTTCGGCGACTTTGAGCGTATCTATCTATCTATCTATCTATCTATCTATCTATCTATCTATCTATCTATCTATCTATCTATCTGTCTGTCTGTCTGTCTGTCTGTCTGTCTGTCTGTCTGTCTGTCTGTCTGTCTGTCTGTCTGTCCGTCCGTCCATTTGTCCGTCTACCTACGACTTTTAGCTGTCCTGGCCGTCTCGATTATTGTATAAATACCAAAAATGTTATGGCATAACATGACGGTATGACGAGCATAACTGACTAGTCATTACATAAAAATCCTGACATGTAGGCCATGTCATGATTTACATCGCATGGTCTTGCCGCTCTGCGGTGGTTTCGTTCGCATCACATTTTGCAAAACTGGTATGATATGACATAGCTGAAGAGCGAACATAAGTGACAGACGCTAACGTGGAAATCATCACATGCATGTCTTGATTTTCATGTTATGACTAGTCATGACTACACGCCACGCTTATGGTGCACTCATGGCGGTTTCGCTGGCTTCACATATACCAAATTTGGAAATTTCATATCAGGTGACGTGAATAGACGACGAAGGTAAATGACACGTTCCAACACGATAATCATAATATGCGTGTCATGTGATACATGAATACATGCTACGCTCATGGCGTGCTCACGGCCGTATCGCTAGCTCCTCATATACCAAATTTGGTATAACGTGACGTGAACAGAGAATGAAGGTAAATGACACGTCCAAACATAATAATCGTGGCACGAAAGTCATGTACGGCATAATTTACGTCCACCTCGTAAAGTTGTGCTCATTTTAAAGTGACATTATCTCCCTCATTCGTGCATCGCGTATCATCGATTCTCGCGATACGTGAGACCTGCTTTTTTTTTTAATCGGGACGGCTCACAGCTCTGCGATAGTTAATTTGATTCAAATGTGGTCACGTATATACTGACAGTAGAATAGTAGGGTATGCGTGTAAGTAGTTTATGACTGTGTGAACTGCGCTAAAAAAGAACTGTATATTGGCATGATATTTGAACTGGTTTCAGTGTGCTATTATGTTTTTTTTCTTTTCCGTATTGTTAAGTTTTGGGTATCATTCTGTATCATTCTTTTATTTTTCGCTGCAGAACTTTGTGATATGGAGTAGCCGAGGCAATAGGCACCTCAACCTCTCCACAGCAAAACAGTTAAAACAGAACAGAACAGATTAATAAGTGGACTTTAACGTCCTAAAGCCACCATATCATTATGCCAGACGCCGTAGTAGAGGGCTTTGGTAATTTCGACCATATGGGGTTTTTTGACGTGAACCCAAGTCTGAGCACACGCGCTCACAGTAATTGCGCCTCCATCAAAAATGCAGCCGCCGCAACCGGGATTCGATCATGCGACCTGCGCGTCAGCAGCCGAGTACCTTAGCCCCTGGACCACCGCAGCGGGGCGAAAAAAAAACGTTCCGTCGTGGGGCGTCGAGCCAGCGACCTCCCCATCAGCAGCACGTGGAGCTAACCATTGGGCCACGAAGCACACGTTGACATACGTGCTAACTGCAAATCATTTATATACGCCATATACCATTTGACAGTCCTCAGAGCTTCGAAACTTCATCGCGTTTCATCGTCAGTGGCGAAATGGCGCGAGCTGCTCGTGTTTGGTGCGCTCTAAACGTCGTTACCTCCCGCGTTTTGATAAGCACCGCCTCCACAGAGCGTGGTCTCTCCTGCGCGCGCGCTTATGAGACTCGTCATTCGGGAGAGCACCAAGGTCATTTCGCTTGCTGCCATGGCTGCGTTACCACAAGGAGCACGCCGCTCACACACAAAGATGTAAAAATTGTGACAGTCGTTCGCGCTTGTCCTGTGTATACTTGTGCGTTCTTTTCTTTCTTCTTTGTTTTTGTTTACACAGCGCGCTTTGAGTGCCGAGCTGTGACAGTTGTTGGTCCGTACTCGTCCTGTGTACGCTCATTTCGTGCACGCTTTCTGCCTGAGGTGGGCGATGAAAGTTTCGAGCTACTTGCCGTGTTTCACGTGACTTCGTAATTTGTTGTGATAGCGTTCGTTCCATTGCCCCGGTGCCGTAACAATCCAGAATAAACGCTCAACTGCATCTGTGAAGGCACCTTTCACTTTCATGTTATACCAATTTCTGGAAAAAGGGATCAGCCACTTTTTTTTCTAAACACGCAAATTACACCACTATTCTTTCGTATACCCATTTATTTCTGTAATTAGCACTATACGCGTAAGATAACTTCGCTGTTTAGCTGCAAGAACACAGGAGAATTATGGGGATGACTTTAAAACTTTTCTTTAAACCATCTATCCTCCTTTCCACTTAAAGAGGTCCTGCAACGCTTTTTTGCGTATTCTTTGAATAGCGTCATTGAAAAAGCTTATTGCACCCACTGTTGCAAAATGTTTACACAATCCTTCAAGCACGTCCGATCTTAGTAGAACCTGCCACACGCTTCAAGTGCCTTCTTATGTGTGTTTATGTCACCGCTTGTTGGGAGAACAGGGAACAACATTTAGTTGACTTTAAGAATCAATCGCCCATTCGAGGCTGCATGCTGCGCTTTAATGTTGGACTCAGGATCCTCGGCTACCCATCGGTAGCGTTTGCTAACCATACTGAAAAAGTGTTGCAGTCTTCCTCTCAAGGAACATTCTATAGAAAACCTTTTTTTTGCGTATTAGTAAAATACAATTCCGCAATCCTGAAAGCGCCACTATTATTGCGAGACAGTGCTTAGTAAGTGTGCAAGCACGCGAAAAAAAATGCTGTGGGAGACGCCATCTTGAAATTCTCGTACCAAACACCACGACGTAGAAGATTTCGATGGTGTATACCAAGTTCTACGTAGTGCGTAGTTGATAAATATGAAATACGTTAATATCTGTGGAGGCCATAGATCTAACGTACGATGTTTGAAAAAATTTCATCATGCCAATGTCGCGAAAATACGGAAAATACACTTTGAAATTCGTGACGTCACGCGCGAAGTGTTGGGCGCGAAACATCAACATAAAACTTCAACCTTGACTTTCTCCTGTAATAGTGAACTCGTGGTGGTGAAACTTACGACACCAGAGTTTTCAGAGTACGGTGTATCAATCTAAACCAAGTCATTGTTTCACTATAGAGTCCCCTTGGGCTACCAATGTGTCACATTTCTGCACGTTTTGCTCCGTTTCGCAGGGAAAGGGCCTCATGACCACCTATTGGCTGGAAGGCGAACGAAACAGGGAACCAGAAGCTGAACAGTGAAATGGCCACATCAGCACTCCGATGCATTCTGATGTTCTTGTCGCGATGACTCGAAAAACAGTCTTGAAGCCGAATACTGAGAAAACATCAACAAACAAAACAGAAGGAAAAAAAGAACACCACTCAACGCACATCATGTTAGAATGAATCAATTCATCATCTATATAGATAATTTAATAGAACATGCTTGCCGTAGGCAAATTTCATTCCTCGAAGATTGCATGGTTCGCTTCATCCTCACTAATCCTGAAGTGAAGAACGCAAACACTTCGAAGCCCGAAGTTCACAGCATAGGAATTTCGAACCTTATGCTGCCACGATAACAAGCCGTGGTAGTCAGAACAATCTAATAGACGCGTAATCTGCGCGTAGCGTGTACCACGTGCCATGGAAAGCTAGAAGTCGAATAATTCCAGATGCTGCATGATTCATACATTAAGCAAACAATAGTAGGAGAAGCTCATGTGAAGATTCGAGGCAAGAGCACAATTTCCAATTCGTGTAGTCGTTCCCAGTCAAGAGCAATTGATGATATAGCAAAGCAACTGATAAGATATCAACGCAAACCAATCGTAACTGAGAGCGAGGCAAAAGCTACATATACCCATACGTCACAAGCACTTACCTAAAAATGAATAGCACTGCGAATCATGCCTCGAAGGCTGATATCCAACGTCATACTAGCACCGTATTCAGCTGACTCTATTTACTATTTTGAAACTCTAGATAATATATTTCAGAATTGAGCTATGAACCCCTGCTCCGAAAGCTGCGTGACTCTTCAACGGCCAGTGGTAGAAATAGAAGCTCAAAAGCGCCACCGTTCCCATACTCATGACGAACACTATGTCAAGGCAGTTTCTCTTTTATTGATTACCTCAATTACATGGTCCTAATTACGTCAAAATACACGGAACCGCAAATGTCGAACAGCATCCCTTATCTCTCCAGAAACTGATCTGAAGTTGTTGGCATCGCATTAGCCATACGAAGTCATTCACCAACTTATCGTCTGTTTGTTAATGTCTACGCGAAACACAACCCACCAAGCTTTCCACTGTAGGGTGTACAGTGCACCTGAAGTTACAGCAGCAGCGCACTTTGACAGAAGAGCACTAACGCTTATGAAGCATGGGAAATGTGAGTTATGAATCACCGACTCGAGATATTACTCTCGTCTAAGTATTATAAACACCGACTCGCCCAAGCGACATACAGTCCAGGCAAAGTTTTTCTCAAAGAGCAAAGTTTTTTTCTTGAAATGTTAATTTGACGCCCAATATATGTGTGTTTTTTTTTCAAGTCTTTTGAGCACCCAAGGAATCTACAACTTCATGCATGTGACTTTTTTTTTTCACCTGCCCCACGACGATAAAGATATCTCTAAATAAACATGCGAAAAATCTGCACTGTTTCCCGCTTTCTCTTTTCTATGCGTTAAAAAATCACAGGGCCCCGTATGAATTCGCACAAGACAACTCTAACGACAAAGGCACGTTCTGCTTTTTTTTAGGCAAAAGCCTCAAACCCTCAAAAAAGTGAACATTGCCCGTCGGTGGCGTCAGCGTCTCTCCACGTTGACGTGGAAGCAAGTGATGCAAACATTATAGTATGGTGACGTCAACATATTATGTCACACATCACCAAAGCGTGTGACGTCAGTATGGCGTCACCACATGGCAGTCACTTGGTCAAAGGTGGATCCCGAAGGACGTACAAATCCAGGTGAGTTGTAAAAAGCTTCCAATGCCTCTGGTCCTGGCGGCAGCGAAAACTACCATTACGCGCAGAAAGATTTCGGGGAGTGGCGTTGCAAGGTCAATGCGCCAAAGCTGATGCCCCCCCCCCCCCTTCGTCAAGCGCTCCCTCATCCACATTGGTGCGTCACTGATTATTTCATCCTTTTCATTAACCCCAACACTCCCCCATTTAGCGCACCACTTATTGGTTCACCCTTTCCTCCGAGCCTCCTCCTCACCCATGGGGGCGCGGCGTAGCCATCTGCATGGGTGCCATCAAATGAAAGCGACAACTCGAGTTGTTTCGAGGTATCTAAAGCCTTAGTTATGAGTCAGAATACGCACAGTTGATGTATTTGAACAGCTGTGGTTGTTTCTGTCAAGTGGTTAGGCACACCAATCATAGTTCAGAAGTGCGCCTTGTGGACGTATCCCACATAAGAACTATATTGTCGAAAGAATGAGCTATAGCGTATGAATTAACTATAGCATGTTACTCGAACTCTACGGTACATCCAAATGAACTGCCTGATAACCCCCTCTCGCCTTTTTTTTTATAAATATAGGTCTAACCCTTGCTGTCCTAATTGCCCCTCCCCATACGCTGACCTGTCACACTGCCTGTTTTACTGCCCAACTGCTCAGCAATCCAGCTATTACACTCCCTCATCCCTTTCCATCACCTCTTGGCTCGACTGGATCGGCGCCGAAGGGGAAGAAGAACAGCATCAACTGGTCGCACAGGCGGTCGAAATGCTCGGCCTGTAAATTTGGCTGAATAAAAGTTTATTACTACTACTAGCATGTTACTAAACGATTTACTTCGCGAGAGCTCCACTCGTGGATATAAACCTTCACACAAAATAGCAAATAAACTATCACGCGAAATGACACGTATGGTTGAGGTTAATAAACGATACACACACACCATGACTCGAAGGCGTGCACGCTTTGCATAGCTACGTGCCCTATCGCGAGTCCTCCGGCTGATCGGTCAACGTAAAAGAGTCACAGAGAGCAATTTGCTCTGAAGCATGCGAGTACACAACAAAATATAACGGAAAGTAACTGCTACACTTCAATTTCATTTAATGAAAACAGCAACGCGAATTCTCTGATGATCCATTATCACATTTTCGAGTGTCTTTCCGCGTACATTCTAAGCACCCAAACCAGTACCCCGAACTCAAACTAGTCGGCGCATAATGACAAGCAGAACACGTAAACATGTATTATGGACAAAAAAAAAAAAACAGCCCCCACAGAAGTTTAATGAAACCAAAGTGATAGATTGCGACGTCCTGCAAAATGAACTACAACTTGTAGTAGAAGGCGCAGCAACCATTGGCAACCGCGACGTCATTCTTGGGTGAAAAGTATTTCACAGCACAGCGCGCGCTGAAGGACAAGTTCGTATCCGTCAAAACAGATGCGCTGCGCTCCAAGGAGTCCGCGCATACAGAGTGAAAATGGCTGTCGCAAGCGATTGTAAACAAACGAACACTGCTTGAATGTCGCTGAACAGGCGCGGACACAGAGGCTGAAGATTTTAATAGCTGTTGTGACTCTGTGTGTCTGCTCCCCAACTTTCTTTAAAGCTATTACTTTGAGGCTACTCTATTCCCTCTTTATCCCGTGCCTTCATTTCTTAATCCTTAGATGTGTTGTAACAAAACAGTAAAAATTACCATCTCATAAGTTCTTGGCAAAGACTTTGATTAACGAGTACACGTAATTACTTTTTTGCAGTATGTGCATTATTGCAGTTTTTGCAGTATGTACTTCGAACGAGACCTCAAGAGGCCGCGTTGAAGCAATACAGTTCCGCTTTCACCACGAAAACTACGCAAGAGTTCTTGGGTATATTTTCGTTCCGAGCTTTTGGCCCAAATGCTTCTTGTATGATTCCCATTAATCAAAACTTCAAAGCACTTGAAAGCCTTCATCTTTCCCTTCAAATGCCGTTTGAACTGGACTTATGATTTCGATGAGAAGTAATTAGGCTGTAGATATTCACAACGTTAACTTGCTATACCGGTGATTCAACAGACGCAGTGTACAGGACAGAGACACCTATGTTTGCTCGTACCTTTGGGAGAGGAGGAGGACTTACATTTCCAGTACACATTTCAATGTTCGGAGCATCATGCTACGCAAACATTTTAATAACCACGATGTGAATCCACAGGCGACCGAATCCAGCTTTGTGAGTCATATAAAAAGAATTTTATTCAGTTCCGTTTAGGCGTTATCTTATCATAGTGTTTCTCAGTTTTAGCTGCATTTAAACAGCACAGTTGAATATGACCACAAAGTAAAGGTGGCCGATCCCGGTGCCGATCAAGGCATTCTACAAACTTCGTGTCCTCTTTTTTATTTTTTTTCATGTATGTGAAAACGTGTAACGCTGACCTGTTTAAAAATGACAGCAGCAATATGTTGCTAAATCCAGCAAAATGTGTCATTGATGCCACTAACGTTGAAGAGAAACAAGGTGTGAATGATAACCCCAAATTACGTTACGATGTGAAAGAAAATGACCAGAAAACGTCGCACAGGTATGATACAATTAAGCAAGCAGAACATGTCACTGCAATCTGTAGATGCGAAAATAACACGAGGGACTGCGAAATTCACATTGGTAAACTTTGTGAAATACAAGAGTGTTTCAAAAAATCACTCACTCACTAAAGCTCTATAACAGAACTGACCCGTGCGCTTCGGAACTACAGCAGTTTGACCTATGCTGCAAGCTATTGACTACAGGTGTACGTGTACGACGTGACGGAACACTGCAGTTGGCGCCGTCCTCTGCACGACTAAAAGGAAATAAAAATATATACCGCTTTGTTCGTCAAAAAGATAAGCGGTGCGCACAGCAGATAAACAACGTCCTATAAAAAGAGAACAGCTAGCGTAGGGTCTTTCACACAGCGAACTAGATAAGAAAATTTCTGTTGAAATTCAAATACGGGGCAATATCAGGGCAACACAACCTTGGCAGTGATTTCCACGCATGGCCGTCCTTACAGCACCGTGCCTCACGGTACTCCCCTTCCCAACAGCGTTAAAACAACCGGAAAGAGTGATTCACACACGATACGAAAAAGAAAGATAAATGGCAGCAGGATAGATCTGCGTTTTTTAGTGGTCTTTGATGACACGGCTCCGAACTAACCTTCTTAGAGCACTAAATCGTGGCGTATGACGCGCGCTCGCAAGCATGACATTAAAATTCGTGCACTGGGGCCGCTTTAAGTAACCGAACATCGATGATGGAAGCTTCTTGCCGCGGTGGGTCTTTGTCACCGTCGAACATTCGCGATGCACGCACAAGTGGCTCGGACGCAAAGGGAACGCGACACCCCCATTGCTCGTCAGCAGGCGTCTCTTTTGGGGCTCTGCAAAATTGTATTGCGTCGCGACTGGGTGAGGAGGAGAGCACTGTTGTGTCTTGGGTGAGGGCAAGTGCTGATGAGGCTCGAGGGGGCGAGTGCCTCTTTTGCACCCCCCTGCCGACGTCCATGCTCACTCCCTTCCTCGATGAGGCATGCCCGGTGAACACTGCCGACGACTAACCAGTTCGCCCCGACGCGCTCTAAGTCTTGTCAGCGTGGAGAATTGTTGTTGACGACGTCCACGTTAATGACGACCTTCCCCTTGGTAATAGGATCCGGCACTGGTACGGAACAGTGTTCGGGAATGGGTATCGGTGCTCCGGTTCGGATCTGCTTCGAATGAGCCTCGAGTGCCTTCTTGGACCACTTGCCCAGCGCCTCGTTTGCCAGACGGTCCCACTCGAGGCATGAAAAGGACGGCACCACAAGGTGTCCACAATTTAAGCATTGCTTGCGAACCACCTTGGGCATCCCCAACCTGCCCAGGTCGAAGAAAACCTCTACGCCATCATCCGTCCAACGGTGGTCACAGCGGCGACAGTGCATCTGAGCCCGGCCCACAGCTGAGGCCAGCTTAGCTCTCGCAAGGAGACTGTTGCGGGACCATTGACTCCTCTGGTAGGATATGGCGTTGCCGCCAGAGCCTACGACCCCTCCGTTGCAGACACCATTGGCTCCCGCTCCGAGCAGGGAGCCTGACGCGGCGATGGACTTGTGGACCGAATCTTTCACGGCTTTGGACACTGTGGGCTTGGGAGGCGTTGTGGTCCCTCTCTTTTCGCCCTGTGGAAACGAGCCGCTGGCCGTAGGGACGCTTCGCTGGAACACGCCGCTCGTCGAACTGCCGGAGGCACCCATGGGCAGCGCGCTCCTCCTCCGAAGTCTTGGCTCCCTTTGCACTGCGAGGTATATTCTTTCCACTGCCGCGGAAGCGAGTGCCGTAGAGCCCGTGGAAACCGCAGCGTGTTGCCCGGCTTGCGTGACCGCGAGCTATCGGTGACCGTCGCCCTCTCGCATATCGGACTCTCGCATAGCGATAAGGCACCGCTGGTAATATGTAGCGGAGAGGTCTTCCTGTGTGCGCTCAGCGTACACTGTGGGACTCTACGAGCAGTGGCGGATGGTCAGAATATTTACGCGGCTTGCTTAAACAGACTGCGGTACACTTGGCTTGGCGGACCTACTTGTACACATTACAATAATCCCCTCTCCGCCCACCATGCTCATCCGAGCCTCTCAAACTTTTTTTTCTTGTCACACTACAATGTTGTGTGTGTGAGTCTGTAGACATGCCGTATTGAAGGCGTCCGGCAAACTCACATGCACAGCCATGAGCCACAGGAAATAGATATTTTTCAGCCTCTTTTGCTGGTGATGCGCGTGTCGTTTCAAGGTCTTTGAGTGCAGGGGTATACGTATCCCTATCAGCCGCGTGCATGCCTTTGTGAAATTGCTTGTTGCGAGGCGCAACGCCGTGCAGTCAGCCAGCCAGGCATAACACCAAAGAATTCACTTACCTAAACACAAAATCCAGGAATTTTAAGCTGTACGTATCAAGTGGCAGGGCAGAAGCATAGGTTTTTTCTTCGAAGGAAGCTCAGTGGTAGAGCTCCGAACGTGTTATTTGAAGGTCGCAGGTTTGGTTCCTGCCCACGGCAAGTCATCTTTTCACTCATTTGTGTTTCTTCAAATTTATATTACAATTAGTTCTGATAACTTCCCATTATACTTTCCTTGGTAGTATTGGGTGGTAAATCTCATTAATATTGGGTAAAAAATGGAAAACCGAGCCCTTAAGTAAACATTTCTTTCCGTTATATATATATATATATATATATATATATATATATATATATATATATATATATATATATATATATATATATATATATATATATATATATATATGCTTCAAGGAAGCAAGAGGACGCTTCATGACTGGCACGAGCTCAGCTTGCGCTATAAACAGAAAATAAGGGCAGAATAAATGAAAACAACCGGCCCGCAGCAAGGGTGGGTGCTATATCTGATTTCTTACAATATATATATATATATATATATATATATATATATATATATATATATATATATATATATATATATATATATATATATATATATATATATATATATATCAGGCGCTCATGTTCTTTATATGTGATGAATTTGTACAATTTTTTTTCTTTCTTCGACATAAGTACAGTCACTCAATCTGTCTTGCCCCATCTCCACATTTCCGACTAACGCCTTTTTCTTGATCGCAGACGCAAAGGTACCCGACCACGATTCGTTTACCGGCGGCGTGTCAGATCAATAAAACATAGCAACAATCACGGGTTATCGAGTGATAACGACATCTGATACGAGCGGATGGTGGTAACGCGAAACCACTCGGAAGCGGCTATGAATCTACGAGGCTTGCGTCACCAGAGCGCGTGTGACGCAAGATTAAAAGAATGGGGTGTGACGCGTGGGGGTGAGAGGAAGAAAGAAAGGAAGTGCAGGAAAAGATATCCGCTCTACGCCCCCACGTCACATGCTAGCACGTCACGTGTTTCCCAGCTCGCGTAGTGCCGTAATCGCGCGTAATCCGAGAAAGAGCAGTCGGCTCATGTATCCGTTATACGTATTTGAGACACGCTGCGCAACATAAGAGCCTCGAAAAAAAGAAAAATACCAAACACGAGCGCTGGCTGTATGGTTAACGTGTGTATCCACGAGTGCTCTGTGGAAATGTAATGCAATTTATGGCAGTTGTCTCAAACTCACGACAGCTGGCGGGCCGCACTTACAAAATTTCCTCCCTCCCGCAAGAGCAAGGGCAGTGGAAAAGGTCGAAGTGGGGCCAGGAGGGAGAGCGTGTTGAACGGGATATTACCTAACATTGCCTTATGAACGAAGGTCTTTCCCATATCTTGCATGGATCAATTTGAACGGGAATATTACTTTAGGATTCGAGAACCATAGTCATACTGATTTTTACAATGAAATTTTGGATGCCAGTTATTTTAATATAGAGATTTGGCGACGGTTGTCTCAATACATGGTGACCTCATGAGATGCCTCACGCAAAAAAATCACAGCACATATCCCCGCAGTGAATGATGATGAGTGAGGCGGAGCGTCCGTACGTCCATCTGTCTGTCCATCCATCCATCCATCCGTCTGTCTAAAATGATCTAACTAAAAATATATAATAACCTAACTGACAGTGAGAGCCAAGAAGTAACTTCGATATTGCACTTAAAATTGCTAAAAATGATTCGTACACAGGCGGGTGACGACTGCGCCGCGCGAGAGGGTGCCACCGCCACGCAGAGCACGCGACTGCTTCTCCCAGCTGCACTTCACCGGCGCTTGGTGGCTACATCTGAAGGGGGATACAACCTAACGGGACTTGCTTGTCACGACGGGTATCTCAACTGAAGTAACAAGCCGGAAGTCGATGAAGCACATAGATGAGTATTGCGCATGCTTCACGAAGAGTTTGCGAATCCCCCTAACCATATTACACTCCCGCTCGAGGGACTCTACGTGTTTACCTTAAGCATTGGCGTCATCGACGCTTCGGTAAACCGACCAGCAGAAACTCTAGGAACGCGAATCGCTGGGTGCCCATACTACGCAACGGTGTTTGATTGATTGATATGTGGGGTTTAACGTCCCAAAACCACTTTATGATTATGAGAGACGCCGTAGTGGAGGGCTCCGGAAATTTAGACCACCTGGGGTTCTTTAACGTGCACCCAAATCTGAGCACACGGGCCTACAACATTTCCGCCTCCATCGGAAATGCAGCCGCCGCAGCCGGGATTCGAACCCGCGCCCTGCGGGTCAGCAGCCGAGTACCTTAGCCACTAGACCACCGCGGCGGGGCTACGCAACGGTGTGTATTTCCGTCACGGTGAATGCGTCGAAATGCGAAAGTAAAGGAGGCTTCTGAAGGCGTCGTTTTATTTCCTGAAATGCCGCCTCCTGGGGTGTTTCCCACTTAGGATTCCACGGTGGACCTGGTATGGTTAGTGAGTGGCTCATAAATGCGAGCGAAGTTTTTGACAAACCGCCCGTAATACGCGCAGAAACTTAGAAATTGGCGTACTGCCTTCATGTCGGTGGGTGGCGGGAAGTTGGCGATGGTGGCTGCTTTCCGCGGGTCGGGACAGGCTTCAGACTTGATATTCAATTGTTCAAAGAAAAATCGCTCCTCGTACGCGAATCAGAAGTTTGCTGGCTTCAGGGTTAGCCCGAAAGGCTTGATAGCATGAAATAGTGCTTCAAGGCATTGGAGATGATCGTCCAAGCTAAAGGAAGACACGACGACATCATCCACGTATACAAGACAAGTCTGCCACTCATCCTGCCAGTGATGTATCCATAACACGTTGAGAAGTAGCAGGCGCCGAACAATGACCTAAGGGCATGACCTCGAACTCGAAGGAGCCTACTCGTGTTATAAATGCAGTCTTCTCTCAGTCTCTCTCGTCGACTTCGATTTTCCAATAGCCAGTCTTGAGGTCCATCGACGAATAGCACCAACGCCGACTAAATTTCAAGGCCGAAAGGCTGCCGCAGTGACGTCAGCGGGTGGGGGCCCAGTTACGCCGCGAACGCGGCGGAAAGCCTGTGTTTCGTTCACGTTTTAGGAGAACCAACGCTCCCGCTCTCGCAGCTGCTGCGGCTTGATTGGGCCGGATAAAAGATGTGGAAAAAAAAGTCTTACTGAGCATGCTCAGTTGGGCAACTGGGCCCCCAACCTCTGACGTCACTGCGGCAGCCTTTCGGCCTTGAAATTTAGTCGGCGTTGATAGCACTTGTGGAGCTGATCCACCGCGCGTCATAGGAGAGAATACACGTCTTTTTTTTTGCTATTTTGTTCAGGCGGCGATAATCGACGCAGAAACGCAGCGTTCCGCCTTTCTTCACTAGCACCACGGAGGACGCCCACGGACTCTTGGTGGTGGTGGTGGTAAAAAACATTTATTTCAGAAAAAGTTTACTAGAGAGTGCCGACGTGGCCCATCGGCGTGCTAGAGTGGCAAGACCCTATTCCGGGACGCCAGTGGAGCTGGAAGCTGCCCGTGCGCGCTCCACCAAGGACTCTTGGACGGCTGGATGATATCACCACGTATATAGTATTTCGTCGACTTTTCTCTTTATGCACGTCACGTTCTCGCATCAAAACCCCGTACGGACTCTGGCGGAGTGGTGGGGAATTTTCCTCTGTTATGACACAATGTTTCGCGACTGGGTCTGCCGAATTTTTGACCATGAGGAAAAGCAGTATTCGTATGGCGAGACCAGGGTCTTCCTGTTCTTGTTTGTGCTTCGGAAGAATTTAAGTCGAAAGCTGAGGGAGGGGCTTTGTTCCTCGCAGCAGGTTCCGCAGAATCAGGGAGGGCGAAAGCACTGGTGTCTCCCACAATTTCCTCGACGTATGCGACCGTCGTGTCTTTTGCGTCGTTCGCGTGTTTTTACTTGTTACTGAAATTCGTGAGCATAACTTTCGCGTTCCCTTCTCGCAGCTCGGCTATTCTTCTGGCGACGCGAATTTCGTGGTTGATCAACAGGTGCCGATTGTCTTCTACGATGCCTTCGAAGTCTTCTGGTTTCGGAATGACGACGGTAATGATGACGCTTGAGCGAGAAGGAACAGGGACTTGTGCGTCCTGCACATTTAGGGCATGGACTCCTGGTGGCGTGTGCGGTGGCAGTGCTGTTTCGGTGGATATAGTGCTATCGACTTTGTTCTCAGGTCGATTACGGCACGATGGAGGCTTAATAAGACCACAAAAATGATGACATCTCTCAAGCAATGTTGTAGTACGACGAAGCTTGCGGGACAAATCCGGCTGTTGTTGGTTACTCTAGCTGTGCAGATTCCTGCCGGTGTTACTATAGGTGGTCTCCGGCTTTACGAATT